CCTTGACAACTTATCCTTAGACATTTAAAACTTTCAGCATGTGAAGTAAAAAGGAAAGTGAGACACCAGTGGCTAATGTTCATAACAAAATAACTCTGAAACAGTTAATAAGCATTTTATCCAGACATATTTTAGAAAATTCGGTTATTTCCTGACTGGTGATAGAATTCATACCTGGATTTTTGTGGCAACCGTTCACTTGTGGAAAATCCTGCTGTAACCTTAACAATAGTATCATCCAGGCAGCAATTTTTTGATTATGCTGCACGGTAACATTTTGTAACATTAGTCTCAGGCAGCATAGTTACTGGATTGAATTTTAAAATCTCCTTTTGCAATGGTTAAGGTGTAAGCTATGTGAAGATCAATTCTGTTGTTCTTGTAACTTTTGCAAGTTGGATGGTGTGAGCCCACCTTGTTCAACTTGCTTGGCTAATGATTATGTAAATTGTTACTTCTGATTATATTTTTGACCACTCGCTTATTCCCTACTTGCAGTTTTATTCATCCACCACTTCAACTTGAGACTGTCCAGGCTGGCTAGAGATTGTCTGATGAAAAACAGCAAATGGTTAAAGGAGTAGTTGTCTTGCTTGCTGATCCCAGATTGCAAAACATATAAACCCTCAATGAAAGCCTCAAAACATTTTCAGAGGTGCCGAGTGTCTACAACTCCAGCTGAAGTGATGAGGTGCTGAAAACCAGAATCTATCTTTTTAAATGTAAAGCATCAAGGTGAAAAATATTCCTAAACCAGCCTCAAATTTCATCTTGGATCACCTAAGACTGAGGCAGAATCCTTCTTATATGGATACAATGCCAGCTTGCCAAAACTATATACAGCGGGATGAACAAAGAAAAATACAAACAACTCCGCCCAAACAAACCAGCAATGTCATATTCAACTTTTCATGAGGGTCATACACTTGGCAGCTGAGAATTTCCAGATTTGTTTCATATTCACAGTAATATTGGCAAATACCAAATGTCTCTCCAGTTATCATCAGATGGACTTTTTCTTGTTGTTCTGTAGTCTCCTTTTTATAAATAGCTTGTTCTTCAGATAGGAAGGAATAAACCCACATGAGCAATCCCACACCACAAATTGCAGATGGCTGTAGCTGTTCATTCAGAAATGGACCACAGTTAAGAGAACTGTCCAAACAATGACAAAAACGTAGGATTTGTCTACCCACAGTCTTACACGGGTTTGATCAAATTGGTGCAGTCTGAATGTGTGGACACGCTTTCATTGGCTTATGCTGGTTTAGAAAATGAAGACTTTGTTTAAACTGAAAGTGTGTCCACACAGGGCTTTTCCACCAGTTTGTGAAATCAATCGGTTTAACTGAATTAGATAAACCAGTGCCACCCTCCATATAGAGAAACCCTTAGATACCAGTGCAATTGCAGCATCTAGGACCCTGAACCAAAAGGTAGGCTTGGTTTGACCAACACTAATGAAGCTGGGCTGCATGTTTTTTAAGAAGCCGTTGCATGTCTCTGTGACACTATGCACAGGTCGTGTCTCCGGTTGCCATAGTGATTGCCATTCTGTATGAAAAGTCATTGTGGAACAGTCACTGAAATGCCCACGTAACTTGAAGTGTCACTATACATGTTGCAGAGTAAGTTACTGATGTGCAAGACATACTCACGTACTAAACATGCAGTACTGTATGCCTGTACTGTGGAGGGCAGGCGTTATCGAACTCCTGATGCATGCCAGCCTCCCCTCCTTGCAGTGGAAATTCCACGTAGGGAATGATTGGATACTCTGGACTGGCTGTTGGGTGTTTCCAAATTATCAACTGATACCTACCACAGTGACAAGTCTAATTTCTCCATGTGAATCAAGGATTACTCAGAATAAGCAAAATCCAAAGCCATGGAATTGACCAATAACTAGAGTTGTTTTATGTTCCCTAATAAAAAACATTCTAGTAGTAACAATTGAATATGTATGCTGAACAATATTAAATCCTCACCCTCTTTTATATGTTTTCATTTACATAACAAACACCTACTGTAAATCTAGCATTGTGCATTGTTTTCAGGGAATGAGAATGCTTAAAATAATTGAGACTTGCCAAACGAGGTGACTTTAGGTACATCTAGACTGCACTCTTACAATCAAAATAAGATACACAATTTATGCTACCCAAATTGCATATCTTATTTTGATTTTATTTCAAAACAGGCTATTTCCAAATTTGGTGCATCTAAACGGCACCAAATTTTGAAATAAAGCACAATTTTGAGACATCCCTTATTCCTCATGGAACGAGGTTTATAGATATGCTGAAATAGTGCGTCCGTTTTTTCGAAAATTATTTTTAAATAGTGGACGTATTTCTTGGATGCAAGGCAACTATTTCAGAATATTGGAGGTATCCCAAAATAGCCTTGCAGTCTAGACATAGCCTTTCCATTAACTATTTCTTCCCCGCTTTCTTGATAGCATTCAATATTTCTCATGTTGACCTGTTACTGTACGCAGAGCCAAGTTTTCTCAGGCAAAACTCTCTCACTGGTGTCAATGGCGACGATTGGGATTTGGCTCCAATGATCTGAGCTAGCTCACTGTGAAGTGAACGGGGGTAGGAGGTGTTGGGTAAGGCCACAGCTGACCACTTGTATCTGCCTTCAGTTGCTCTCCACCTGGAATGCTGGTTTCTAACTTTCAAAAGGCACCAATGTAGCCCATCAACCATGCAAGCAGGAATAGTAAGAGATGCAAAGCCTCCAGGCAATAACTGCACATTATTAATAAACATTACGCAGTGATAAGTAGTGTTTATGCTGTGTTCTGGTGATGCCACTTTCATCATGCCCTGAGCCATGAAACTGTCATCCACATTTACAGCATCAAGATTTCAATGCTCATTACTCAGCAAGACCTGCGGGTCCCTTACGGAAAATGTTTAACTGTATCACCGTTCTCTAGGGATGAGAACTTTCCCAGGATTTGGTTTTGTTTGGAAGTCAGCTCCTGTCCCAAACCTTATGTAGATCTCTTCCCTTGGGAGAGGGAATGATTCTCAGAGAAGAGTCTACCATTGATTCTGTTTTGGTCACAGCAAAACACATGTGAAGAAGTGGGGTTGGAGGAGTAAGAGGAAAAGCCGTGTCTTCAAACAAAGCAGAACTATTGCATGGTTGGTTTGAAAATGAAAGTTGCCTTGGTCAGAAACAGGAAAAAAGGTGGGTGAAAAGGTTGTGAATTTAGGCCTTACGAGGTGGAGGAAGAGGAGCACAAATCCATGACAAATGGATGCGTTCAGTATCTATCGTGATTTGTGAATGGCGAAAGTGTCTGTAGATGGGTTGAGAGGATGCAGAAGAAGAGAACAGAAAGTGATGAGAATGGAACCATTCTTTCCTCTTAATCAGGCCTATTAAAAATATGTCTGACATGTTACAGACCAATCTGGTACCCAAAGAAAAAGACATGACATTAGTTTTTAAGACCAATTGGAGTTTAAGATGCTGGCTGCATTGTGGGGGGGAGAGGGGGAGGAGAGAAGGCATGGAACAATGAGAATCTCGGGGTGATTCTGGACAGCATACCCGAAGCTCCACTGGCGATCCCAGGGAAGTGCAGGTTGGAGACGAAGCTCCACCTCCTTTTGAACAGGTGAAGCATATGCTCCCTGGCCCTGCTTTCACAGTGACACTTTCCACCCTCATGGGGGCATCTAATGTAGCTGGCAACCCTAGACTCCTGAAGCTCATATGGCTGTATCCCTACACTCAGACAGATATACAAAGAAATACACCCTGTGCCTTCTCTCCTCCCCAGACACAGAATGTCTCAGACAATAGTGGGTGAAAACAGGTCATGTTCCTTTACGTCATACCCAGATGACGCAAGGATTGTTCAAAGCTAAATGCAAGGATCATGCCTAGTTCTAAAAAAATAAATATTCCATACTTGATCCTGGCATCAAGCGTGCGTAGTCCTTGCGCTCTTCTCAGTACGTGTTGTGCCTTTTGTCTACATAACTCCCTGATCTTGTTTGTGCCGCTCGTGAAAATCTCTTCCAGGAAAAATGAGTAACTCTCAGGATCTGAATTTCTGACATGCTATGTACCATATGGCAGTATTTTCAAGTTTGATCTCTTCCACTGCTTGGTGCTTTCTGCTTTTCAGTTTTCTCTCCCATGAGCCTACGCACTCAGGAGAAAACTGCCCCTGATAAAAGACAGAACAGTTGAATGATCAAAAATCAACAACAGCAAAAAGTTAAAGGGAGGGAACTATTATATATGTTTTTGAAGAGACGGTGCCTGGCATAGAGACTTTTGACACCTTGTTTCCATAATGAAGTATGCAGTTGGAGCCAGGGCTCAAAAAATATTTTATTTCTTGGAAAAGTTCTCCTATGATTTTGGTGTCTGAGATGCTTTTGCAAGACCAACTCTGAGCAAGGGAAAAGTGAGTTTGATGAAAACGAGTGACATTTGATGCACAGACGGTGCCAGATATGATGCTCTTTAATTGAGAGCGCTGGTTGCAGTCTCAGTAGGAAGACTGTGCACAGATTTTTAAAATGCCCATGTGCTAAAGCAAGCTTTTCAAAAAGCCCTGACTGGAACAGAAACCACTGCACACTGGGCTGCCCCCCACAATCTTGTGTCAAAGGTGGGTTTAAAAAAAAGAAGAACTTGCGCTATACTAGCAAATTTTCCTCTATAAAATTGGAAAATACTATACAAGGACTCTCTCGCTCCCCTCCAATGCCATAGACTTGAGGGCACAGTCATATGGAGAAACACAGCAAAGTATGTGAAGTAAAACAAACTGTATTTGCTTGTGGCTACACTACCATTGACTTCCTGGGAACACGGGACCACTGGAAATAGTCTGTTGGCCCCTAGGTTAAAAGTCAGCCCCACAAAAATAGCTCATGAGGCTGTGTTCCTTCCGAATCACAAAATATAACTCTGGATGAAAGGGAGTCCTCCTTCAAGTTACCACCGCTGTTCTGAAGCAATAATTCAGGACTCCTGTATTTTTATTGCATTAGAAAACAAAACCATTAAAGCATTAAGACAGCCCTTTTATGTCCCTGCCAAGAGGATGTAGTTGATTCACAAGACATATTACACTGCTGGCCTCGGGTTCCATGTCGACTGGTTCTATATCAGCCTGCCTCTTTATTTCCCTTTTCAAAGTTGACTGAGGAAAAAGTTCACCCGTTGGCATGCGCATGCATGGTTAGTTTGGTTCACAGTGTTATGGTGAAAGGCTATTCCATGCCGCTCCGGAGGATCTGATTGGCTGCAATCAACATGACGCTTATAATAAAGGCCATGGCAAATGCACATATAAGGCTCTTCCGTACACAGGTCTGTCTGTTCTGTTTCTGGGAGTGAACTAAAGTGGGAGGAAAAATAGAGAAAGTAAAGATGAGACACTTACACAACTAGAATATTTAGTCTTTTACCAATTTTAATTTGCATCACAATAAGCATTGAACATTTCTTGCTTCTGTAACCCCCTCGGCAAAACATCCATATCAGTTGATATTCCCCTAATTCCCCCAGTAAAATGTCATTTTTTTAACTAGTCTGACTTTTGAATGGCTAAACCTCTGAGGAATCTCTAAGGCACAGACTAAAATCCAGACAGCCCAAGGTGCTTGACTTCTGATTAAGAAAAAAGTTGCATTTCCATAAAGAGTTCCACCTTCATACCAGATTTCCATACCATCACTGTCCCTGCTAGCAAACCCCTCCCTTTATGTGTTATAAAATATATCACATTCCAGCCACTCTCCTGGCATAACCAAACCATGACTTTGCTTTAAGTTATGATAAGAGGAAGCTGCACACCAAATTTGGTAGTCCTAGCTCATACATTTAGGAGTTCTTGAACAAACAAACGGCTGGACAGACAGGCTTGCTCACTTGCTCACAGACAAACAAACTCTCTCAACTATATACGTTTAGTCTATGTTTCTACCAATCATGGATTTGCTCTCTTTTTGTCCAAAAGGCTTATAAACCAATGAGATATCAATTCTTATCATAGTCACACTACATACTCCTTAACAATTTCAATCCATTCCCCCTCTGTATCATCCTAAGCTATCATAGAATACTAGGACTGGAAGGGACCTCGAGAGGTCATTGAGTCTAGTCCCCTGCCCTTATGGCAGAACCCAGTACTGTCTAGACCATCCCTGATAGATATTTATCTAACCTGCTCTTAAATAGCTCCAGAGGCGCTCATCTGTCGGCCTTACATTTCATCTCGGGAGGTATGCTGTCTGACGGGGGCCCGTATCCGAGATGTTACGGAGGTACTGTCAGCTACTCATCCATGTGGGCACTAAAGATATTGTGAGGTGTGACACTGAGCAGATCAAGAGTGACTACACGGCTCTGGGGGTACGGGTGAAGGAGTTTGGCGCGCAGGTGGTATTCTCTTCGATCCTTCCTGTCGAAGGTAGAGGCCCGGGCAGAGACTGGTGCATCCTGGAGGTGAATGCCTGGCTGCGAGGATGGTGTCGCCAGGAGGGCTTTGGCTTCCTCGACCATGGGATGCTATTCCAGAAAGGACTGCTGAGCAGGGATGGCATCCACCTTTTGAGGAGGGGGAAGACCCTATTTGGACACAGACTAGCTAACCTAGTGAGGAGGGCTTTAAACTAGGTTCAACGGGGACAGGTGAGCAAAGCCCACAGGTAAGTGGAGAACACGGAGGCCTGGGAGATGGGCAGGAAATGGGAGGGAGCGTGGGCTATAATGGCAGAGAGAAAGGAGGGTCAGGGCAAAACTGGGAGGCAAGGTCAATTCAGGATCTTAGAAGCCTATATACAAGTGCGAGAAGTATGGGAAATAAGCAGGAAGAACTGGAAGTGCTAATAAATAAGTACAATTATGACATTGTTGGCATCACAGAAACTTGGTGGGATAATACACGTGATTGGAATGTTTGTATAGAAGGGTACAGCTTGCTCAGGAAGGATAGACAGGGAAAAAAGGGAGGAGGTGTTGCCTTATACATTAAAAATGAACACACTTAGACTGAGGTGGAGGTGGGCATAGGAGACAGAAATGTTGAGAGTCTCTGGGTTAGGCTAAAAGGGATTAAAAACAAAGGTGAAGTCATGCTAGGAGTCTACTACAGGCCACCTACCCAGGTGGAAGAAGTGGATGAGGCTTTTTTGAAACAACTAACAAAATCATCCACCTCATTTGGTGGTGAGGGGGGACTTCAACTATCCAGATATATGTTGGGAAAATTACACTGCAGGGCACAGACTATCCAATAAGTTCTTGGACTGCATTGGAGACAATCGATACTGAGAGGAAAAACAACTGAGGAGAGTTGGCAGTTTTTCAAAGGGACATTGTTAAGGGCCCAAAAGCAAGCTATTCTGATGTGTTGGAAAGATGGCAAAAGACCGCCTTGGCTTAACCACGAGATCTTGCATGATCTAACAATAAAAAAGGAGTCATATAAAAAATGGAAAGTAGGACAAATTACAAATGATGAATATAGGCAAACAGCACAAGAATGCAGGGGCAAGATTAGAAAGGCAAAGGCACAGAATGAGCTCAAACTAGCTATGGGAATAAAGGGAAACAAGAAGATGTTTTATAAATACATTAGAAGCAAGAGGAAGACCAAGGAGAGGGTAGGCCCACTGGTCAGTGAGGAGGGGGAAACAGT